CACATTCGTGCTACAACCATAATTATAGGTAGCTACAACGTGGCTCTACCACGTATAATTATATTCTTCATATTTCGTCAAAAAATATGAAGAATATAATTATACGTGGTAATAATAGTAATTATATTTTTCTTTTAATTTGAAATATTTAAGTAATAAGTATTTAATTTGAAAACAGTATCATTTAATTTAAATATTTTTAAGTATTTTTGTGAAATAATTTATTTTTGAGGACATTCAATTTTGAAAAGACTTTCCATCGACTTGAGAAAATTGGAAAAATAGCTTAGGCATAAATTTCAATATTAAAATTAAATTCTTCGTCTTGTTCTTCTTCATAATCGTGTAAAAGTCCACTGCAGGACATGGCTTCTCGCGTTGTAGAGCCGATTAACGAGCGCAGTACCAGACGTCTTGTATATTTGACACAGTTGCCCGTCGCGTCGCTGGTCTGGATATTTTGTTAGTGGAAACGAGATGGTTATAGAGTAATCTATCGGAAGCCATAAGATTTATCTGAAATTTAGTAGTCGTCTCTTGCGTCACCCGGTGATAATTTTTCTTACACCCCCACGAAACGACTCAACATTTTTTTTAAAGGATAGGGTGACATACGAACACGAAGTCCACCTGATGGTAAGTGGTTGCTGTGACCCATAGACATCTACATATATCCTCAATAAAGAATCAAAATGCAGATGCGTCGTCACCGGTGAGGACTAAGATGAAATCCTCATTTCCAGTAAAAAGTCTCCGGTTCTTTACACTCACCATACGAAATACAGCAGTGTCAAGCTGCCATTTTACGCTGGTATTCTGTGAGAGCGTGGTCCTTCCCCGGTCGAGGCGACCCATTCGTGCTACAACTATACTACTAATATGGCTCTACACGTATAAAATTATATTTATAGTATATAATATATAAATTGTATTTAATTTAAATAACGTGATACTTATTAAAAAGATATTAGGATATAAGCATATAGTCTTACCATGGTAGAGCCATGCTGCAGCTATGTTATGGTTGTAGCACGTACAGTCGGCTCGACCGGGGAAGGACTGTGCTCTCACAGAATACCAGCGTAAAATATCAGCTCAATGCTGCTGTGTTTCATATGGTGCGTTTAGAGAACCGGAGATCCCTTTTACTGGATATGAGGCATTCCATCTTGGTACTGGGGGTGACAACGCATCTGAATTTTGATTCTTAATCGAGGATAGATGTCTATGAGCCACAGCATCCAGTTACCATCAGGTGGACCGTGTGCTCGCTTAATTAGCCCTATTCTATATAAAAAAAATATTTTTGTTGGATATAATTCCCCAAATATTGATGGCACAGATTATTCGAGAAAACTTTCGAGTTATTATACCCTGTCTCTTTTTGCATTTATGTTGATGGAACTTTAATTACTTATTTGATGACCGCGTGATGCTCATATATTTGTAATTTAAGTGTTTAGTTCTTGAACTTGAACAAAACATAGTTTTTAATTGATATAATTGAGCTTTATTTGAAACTCGCGGCAATGAAGTTAATGATTGTCGCATAGCACTAGACTTGTTCTTTATATGAAATAAGATAAAACTGAACGCAATTAAACTATATGAAATATTTTTTTAAATTAAAATATAAATATACTTTGTTTAGAATCAGTTATAGAATCGGAGAGGTTAAACTTTATTTTCGACTATATAAGCACGTTATAATAAGAGAAACCAAAGTATAAGCTTTGTGCTTTTATATTAAGTTTTAGAATACATACTATTATACAAAAAAGTTCAATGTAAAGGTTTATTCTCCTTGTCGGTTATTCTGTTGTGAATAAATTGTGTATTACTAAATTATTTCGATTACAACTTGACCTTTTTTTTACTAACTTCGAAATCATTCATTTTTTACTTTTGTAAACCACTGCTGTACTCCTTTTCTTTTGTTATATTTTAATAAAATCATTACTGCTAAAACCGGCAGTTTATGTAAGCAAACAATTATTCTCAAATATTAATCAATGTTGCTAATGGAGAAAAGAATACTTTTATTTTTCTTTTATAATTCTTCATTTATTCTTGAATTAAGTGACTATTATGTGAGCGTAGAAAAATGTTTTAAACATTATTATTTACTGCTCCGTCGGTTGTTCTGTGGGTATACGTGTTAATAATTATAATTATGTGTAACTGAAGCAATGAATCAACTAAACTATCGCACCAAAAGTTGTCACTTACCCTTTTGATGATCCCTATTGAAATTAATTAATAAAAATTTATAAAAACGAAAGTCGATGATTAATAAAATATTTATTTTTCACGACATATTAACCATATTATGAGATTCATTTTCTGTAAATCAACGATTTATGTGATAACAATTATAAACATGCAAGTAGAGACAACATTCTTTTTAGTTATCGTGAGGAATCGCGATGTGCACTTTTGGGTTCTCAAAGTATTGTCCCCATATTAAGTAATATAGGGTTTAAAGTTCACATTAATAATAATAATGTATATATAACGTTATTATAAAATGAATTATCTTATTTAGTGAATTAAAATAATAATATTCATACAAGTATACCTAAGCCAATTGGTAGCCTCTATGTCTAGCTAATGTATTGTAACATAATAAAAATATTTTTATCTATACATATAATAAAACTGTAAATAGCAGATCTGTACATTTTATAATTTTGTAATAAAAGTGATTGAGGGGTACTAAAAATAAGTAATTAAATACATTTCTACCATTTTTAGAATTTTCTGTCTGTCTGTCTTTCTGTCTGTCTGTCTGTTTGTTTGTTAACGTATCACGTTTAAAGTACTAATTTATATCATAAGAATTGTTAAGGAAATTCTAAAGTGTACCTTCGGAATACATTTAGTCTTTATTTCATTAAAATCGGTTCATTCCATCAAAAGTTATGATAAATATTCTGAAGTATGGGTAGGGAATTTGCTCAACGGTGGCTATGTTTGAGTCATCAAGTTGATGTTAGCAGCGCCATCTCTCTTTAATTAAATATATACATATAATAAAAATGATGATAACATGTTGTGTCTCTTTCTGTACATTGTATATATATTTTGGTGACTCATTGACGGTGACACATGAAATCATTATGGGGAACTAAAAATAATTAAATAAGTACATTTTTATAATTTTTAGAATTATCTGTCTGTCTGTTTGTCTGTTTTTATATGAAGGCATCACGTCTAAAGTAAGCATCTTTTTTTTTTCAAAGAAATCGTTAAGAAAATCATAAAGCGTATTTTCAAGTTACATTTAATCTTTGTTTTATTAAAATTGGTTAATTCTATCGAAAGTAATGATTATTATTTTAAAATGTAGGTTCGAATTTGTTCAATGGCGCCATAAAAATCTCAGAAATAGTAATAAAAAGATTTGTGTGTAAAAAAAACGTTCCATAATAATTAATATATTTATACTTAAAACATAAAAAGAGATTTAAAAAAGGATGTTTTCTCACACAAAGGACGTAATAGATGGAGTTGTACAAATTACGAACTTTTCTGATTTGCTGTGTTGAGATTTTTCTCCGATGAATCGTATTGAGACTTACTGAAGAAATTTGTATCTATCGAAGCCATACAACGGAACCCGAACAAAAATAACAAAATTGCAACGAAATGTCGTGATATTGTATTTATAATATACGCAAAATCAGTACTGCCATTTTAGCGCTTTGGGAACTAGATTTAGCGCTTTTTTGGAATGTGTAGCGCGCATTTCGAAATTTTAGCACCTAGCTTAATCCAGCGCTTTTTGGTGTATTTAGCACACATTTCAAAATTGTAGCGACTAGCGGGTTATCAACTCTTTTATAGCAGCACTGTTAGTCCACATTACCGATAATAATAATAATGACCTTTATTATTTTTTCCACAAATAGTACATTGCAGTTTATCTTTTTCAAACATATTTTTTCCACAAAACAAAGACCATGGGAAACGAGTCCAAACTAGGATACCCTGTGCTATGGATCTCCCGGCTTCCCCTTTAGGATGATCAACTTGATTTTTTTTATCGACGACTATAAGCGGGGAAATCCCCTTCATTAAAGTTTTCGTTCATGGTTTTGGCAACGCATTTATTTTGTTTTATTCAGTTTTAGTCAGAGCACAGCTAAGTTAAAAGTTACTTAGAGTAGTACTAACTACTGTTGACAGCAATTGCCATAATTATAAGTCGATGTCCTGCGAAGTATTGATACATCAAAAAATATTGCCAGAAAAAAACTTAATGTTGTTTTCTTTATTATGATTATATTTTCTTGAATTATAAATTATAATAAAAAACACAAACTTTGTTTGTAGTTAATTTAGCGCGAAATCTAGGGCTTTTTTAAAGCGCTGTTTTCATGAAATCTAGCGCTTTTTGTGTTGTCCTAGCGCTGAATGAGTTTTTTTGATCTGGCAGCACTGCCAAAAAACCCTCTATTAAGAAGTAACTTTCCTTTCAGTTTTAAGCGCGTTCAGTTCCCAGTTACAGTCAGCGTGTGTTATGCGATGACCGTAAATATAGCGCAAGGTCAAAATTTACGCGTTGTAAGAGTGGACCTCAGTACTGACTGTTTTGCACATGGCAAACTCTATGTTGCTTTTTCCCGCGTTAGTAGCCCCCGTAACCTTTTTTGTGTACACCCCGTCTAAGTCTACTTCTAACGTCGTTTACACCGAAGCTCTATCATAAACTACTTAGAACTTTGATGATAATGATTTATTTGTTACCACTTATTGATACAGTAATGATATAAATCGTTTAATATTCTCTTACCTAAACGACAAATTCTTTATGTAAAATCTATATACGCGAGCTACGCCGCGGGCACAGCTAGTCATAGCATAAAATAGATAAAACCTTATTAGCTGACCAGAGGTCCCGTTCCCGTAGTAATAATTCACAGCATCCCTTTATTTTTGCCATCCTCCCTCGGGAGATATTGACCCACTTAACGGAGCACGAGGAATGTTTGTTTCAGGTGTCGGCTGCTATTGAGCTGTCAGAGACTGCCAATACACATACAGTAGCACAATCACATAATAATGTAAGTAGTACCATTTTTGATTTTCATATTATTTAATATTTTAACAATAAATGAACAAGTTAATGCGAAATACCTCATTTTTATGTTTAGGTGGCAGTGAAAAATTCATACTTGCTATCATTATTACGGTCAGAAAAGTTCATATATGTACATATGTATGTATTATATTATGAGTACATCGGCTCACCTTTTAGTGTTATAGAACGAAACTATGTTATTGTCATATATGCTATCTATCTGCGTATTGCGTCACATTAGGTTATTTACTTTGTTGTTCAATGGACCGTCACAATTTCTTTTGTTTTATAGTTAACGTAATTAAATCAACAATTAATAAAACGTATTCGTCGAGTGTATTTTTGTCGCGGTCATAACGTCCAAACAAATCACTTAAAATATTTAACTAACTGAAACTTAAATTATAGACTTGAATTAAATAACGAACTGGGGATGTTTGATTAGAATAGAAATAGTGCGCCTTGCCTCCATAACAGACAACAGTATTGTACAGGTGAAGATAAGTTATTCTTAAAATAGAATAAAATAAGAACTTTATGATAATACCAACTTGGCAACTTTACAGGCGACATGACCCTTGCATATTTGGCTGTTTGATTTAAACAGCAAGTGCTAATCTCGAAGTATTGCCGATGAAGGAGATTTTCGAAGCTACAAATTGCCATTACAAGTTTCCATTACGATTCTAATTTTATTTTCAGTTTTTATTTTATTTTAGTTTATACACTTTAAAGTTAGCCCAATTTTCAAGTCGTTAGCAGTACAATATGATAAGCCAGAAGTACCTATAATTTAAGTGTTAGCGTTTAGCGTGGTGAAGTCCTTTTAATTAATATATAAATTGGTAAATATGTTTATCATTGCAATCAAGTTGTCATGAAATGTTAACGTAAAAACTAATAACAAGTACAGTATTTAATAGTAGTAGTAAACTAATACAGAATTTCATTTTCTTAATTTCTTTATCCTTCTACAAATAATCTTGTTATAAAAGTAAATTTTTCAAAATATACAAAATATAACTTAGTTAAATTAGCGCCACGGGCTAATTATTGTAGCGTAACCGTCCCAGAAAGGAGAGTGGAGCAGTGGAACGTATAAAGGCAGTAACTTTACAGTTCGCGTAGGTGGCGAGCTAACTGCTATTATATCCGAAATCCCGACAAGTTTAACTTACACTAGGGAAACTAAACGCAGCAAGGATTCTAGAATGTGCTAACCAAAGTACAAACATCGTCGAGTTCATACATACGTCGCGGCGCTGCATTCCAAACTCTATATCCCATTTCCTGTTTGATTGTTATGTAAACACTAGCTACGATCAATATACATCTATTTTATTTTTAATTTTTCCATTTTCCCATTGTAACTTCTTTTTCACAGTAAATTTTTATTTATAATTCTTACACTATAATTATTTTCGGTAATATAAGATAAGGCAAGACAAGAGAGGTGCTCTTTTGCACACATTAAATCTTTGTTTAATTGATTGGTTTGTCCATGATGACGATTAAATATTTTTTTCATTTTTGAAACTCTGTCTTTGAATAGATTTATTATAAAAATACTTGATCAGTAAATAATGAAAAAAACAAAACCGAAAATTCTAAATTAGGTATATTTTTGGATGATAAAGTAACTACCTATATTAAAATTATAAAATAAAATGTATAATGCAAGCTCGCGTATTTTAGGCACTCATGTCATAACGTATAATAAAATGATTATGATAGAAAGAAAAAGGTACAGAAATTAATTTTCAGTGCCTAATGCTAGAGAAGCCATTCCAAACAAAAATTCCTACTCTATGTCTTTGCGCATGCACGGGAGTAGTAGTCGCGAATGGGCGAAGACTTTAATTTGATATAAAATAAGATATTTATATAAAATAAATATAAGAATTTAATATAAAATATCTTAATTTAATCTAAACAAACATATTATATTTCTGAATAAAATGTAATAATAATTATTTTATCGAATTCACAAATCTTCAATTTACGCAATACTTAGTTTGTATGGATTACACTACAGTGCAGTTGAACATAGTCTATGTCCGGAATGGCTTCTCTAGTACGTAGTACATATAACTCAATAAGCCTGCCAATTTCTTCGTTTTTTAGGTTATCTTCCAACGACGTTCATTTTGTTAATGACTTCTCTTGAGCTTAAATTATCATTATTTCATTCTGATAAAGCGGTATTGGTAGGGCATCGAAAATCGTACTTGAATGTCTGACTTGAAATGTTTGTTGTCATTAGACCTCGTTTGAGCTGTTAACTTCACCACTTATTGACTCAATTTTGTATTGAAACAAATGGCTGACTAAGTTCACATTTCTTCAGACTTGCAATCAATTATAATTCGTTGACCACATTTACAAGATCTCGTACCTACACGTCGAGATTCGTTTGTGTATAAAACCCGAGCAATGATTCCTTAAGATGAGAGACGACCTTAAGTTAATATTGTATTTTTATATTACTTATTTAGTAATTTAATTCAGTTTTAACAAGGTGCATAGTATGCGGTAATATTTTGTTTATGTCAGTTATAATTGAAATGGATAAACACTGAGGATAAACATTATCCAAACAGATCTCATTGCATTAGTGTAATTCTCTGTACGAAACGTATAGATACGAAAATAATTGACATGTGTCAAACTCGGAGCTGTTCTGGGTTTCCAAATTTAGAGCAATGTTTATGGTAACAACGGATGCTGTATTGCTTTCAATGCTAATGTTTTTCTCATATACGTAATTTATTGTCCTAATAAAGGAAACGAAATTTGATATTGTAAATATGCTATGTTCCATTTCAGTGAATTCGTTCAGACTAACTACATATAACACTTGAACATAAATACAGTGAAAAAAGCAAGTGTGATATTAGACGCTTCTGGTAATTTTTACAACTTCAATTCTCCGTCATAACTCTCGTCGATAACCTAATTGAACTCTATATATAAAGGATTACAAAATATTTATTCTGCTTATGATTTTGTATGTGTGTCATTGTTTGGAATATTTTGTTGAACTATTTAACCTTGCGGTGAGGTTCGTCCCTTTACAGAGGGATGTAATGGATGTCACGGTTTGATTGATGTGTAATTATTTAAGAGGGCGGGTGAGACTGTGCGACGTCTTATGGTGTGAAGGTGAGGCCGGTGGCGCGGTCGCCGTGGCGCGATGAACTGGCAGTGCGAGGCGGGCGCGCGTTCCGGCTGCACACCGCATTTTGTAGTCCGACTTTACTCGGCCCCGCGTTTATGTGCCTGCATGAGGCTTAGAGCGGACTTCCTTCTAACTCACACGCGGAACTAAACACATTCGGCAGCGCAAAAACTGGTAGTTCGCGCCGTTTTAGCATATAATTGCAATTGATAACTTTTAAGTGTTCAAAATCAAGTAAGAACCGTTTTCTTTGCATCGTCAAAGAAAATTTGTTCGGACACAATGTTACATTCAAAGGACCAGCATCTGTTATCACAGTTTATTCAGTTCGACTGCGTACAAATAATGAGCAACGTCCTTGTGTGAAGCTAGAGGTGACATTTGCGCAGCGTCGCCGGCAGCCGTGCTACAAAGATGAAGTTGTTCAAGAGGAGGCTGTCGTTCAGTGGAGATAAACAGAAACGGGTTTCCCATAAGGATGATCCTTTTGAACATGAGGTACCTCTCAAAACTTAGAAAAATCATTTGTTACTTTATATCCTCTATCCATCATAAGCGCATAGTTATCAATTAAAAAAAAATTGCATACTATATAAGGCAGAATTAAAGAATATATATTTTACGTTTTTGTATACTACTCAATTCACATTATGCAAAATAAGTCGATAGACAAGGTTATCTTATCAGTGGAGGCCGCGTTCTGCACTGCTACGTAGTTAACAACATGTGAATTAACATCTGGAGGAATTAGTAAAAAGTGAAGTAAATATCGTACAGCGTTAGTACTTTTAAACTTATTACATTGCTGATTTATTCCATTTACTGTAATTAAGTTCTTATTAGAATACAATGAAATTATTTTGACAGCACTGAAATATCTCTTTCGAAAATAGGAGTAAAAGATGATATAATACGAGTATGTAGGTACGTTGTGTTTAATTAGTTTTTAACACACGTAAATATAAAATAAACGCAGAATAAGCGATACATTTTCTTTTATTATTTATTTCAAATGTTCATTTTAAATTACATAACATTTTTCTATTACAGTCTTGTTTATTTACCACATTTATGTACTAAAACTATGATAAGCAATATCAGTAGGTATGTGACCACTTTATACACGTAAACGTGGTCTAGTTTACTCTCTTGAAGAACTACAGACCGATTTCCCTTCTGAGCCGCGTCTACGTGCTGTTTTCGAGAGTCATTACGAATTGTCTCGCGCGCAGACTTGACGACTTCCAGCCTCCCGAACAAGCCGGTTTCCGAAAAGACTTTAGCACTAAAGACCACATACACACCCTTCGGCAAATTGTACAGAAGTCCAAGGAGTACAATTTGCCACTATGTCTGGCGTATGTGGACTGTGAGAAACCCTTGGATTCCGTCGAAATTTGGGGGGTGCTGCAGTCCCTTCAGCGGTGCCACGTTGGCTGTCGGTATATCGAAGTGTTGAAGTGCTTGTACAGTAGGGCTACGATGGCTATCCGAGTACAGATCCAGAGTGCGAAACCTATCCTATTGCAGAGAGGTGTAAGACAGGGTGACGTCATATCCCCGAAACTCTTCACCGCTGCATTGGAAGACGTTTTGAAGCTTCTGGACTGGAAAGGATACGGTATCAACATCAATGGCGAGTACATTACTCACCTTCGATTTGCCGACGATATAGCCCTTATGGCAGAATCGCTGGAGGACCTAAGCACTATGCTCAATGACCTCAATAGTGTCTCCCAACGGATAGGTCTTAAGATGAACATGGACAAAACAGCTCGCTCCGCGAGCTATGGAGAGAGCTATGC